TACGCATGTACATCCTAAACAATTCAACAATAGCTAATAGTCCGTAAATATATATATAGCCACACTAAAAGGCTCTCACTGGACTACAGGCCGGTCTCAACCTGAATAGAGGTAACATGCTAAAGCGCACATGAAGTGGGCATATGTACCTATACCTAAACAAGGTACACCTCTAACCATTGTAGCCAGCTACACATCCCGATGCATATATGCTCCCTAGCCATCGGTCCTGAGGCTCAAGCTCATACCGAGGCACCATAACAGTACATATATAAAATCCATCCAAAACCCTTGGTATTGCCGCTCAACAAGTAGTTGCCATGACAATACAAATCCACGAGACTTAACTTTTAGTTAATCCCATCCTTATTCCAAGTAGGTGGGTAATGGTATTGTTTTAAAAACCAAACCCATCCTTAGTATGCCACCGTCCCATACCGGTGCCTACTTTCCAATCCTCCAGTAGTCAATAATACCAATAAATCAAGTATATATCAACTAAATTCCAACATCCAACATTCAATGTTAGCAGTGATAAAATAAGCATTGATAGACAGGGTCACAACAACAACATATACATGCCCAATTTAAGTTGTTCCCTTTAGTCTGATATAAAGACAGAATTAATTAAAACTTCCATTTAACACCTTACAAATAACATACAGATATGTAGGGTATGTATCACAAAATCCTAACCTCCACAGTTGATACTAACTGTGATAATGTAAGCATCAAAACAATATTCACAGTATGTATGTAGACATGCTCAAGTTATAGTGTTCCACAAAACCGATCTAGTGTTAAACTCAAATCCTCCTAGTATTTAAGTTCCAACAGTTGCTATTACAGAAGTTAAGATAGCTATCATCTAGACCCATCCTTCCAATAATTTATACTAGCAGTGGTAAGGAAAAACGTGAACCACAGAATCACAATGCATCCACAAACATGCTTAGTCTAGGTTGAACAAGCATACAACACTACTGTAACTACCAGTTTCATAGCAAAACAGATATCATTTTAGTTTGGTTTAATCTTCATTAATCCTGGAATCATTTAAGAGTGCAAAGAGTATGAAGCCTAAGGGAAAGAGTAAGGATAGAATCTTGCCTCAGAAACTTTTGTTCAAAGTTTCAACGTCGTCTTCTTAAAAAATCCTGGCGAGTTCCAAAACCCGGTTACTGTTCATGGGTACAAATCACTATTCCTGAGGTCAAACTCTGATCTCCACCGTTCAGATTGTGCGTCACTGAGTCGTGAACCTCTCCTCCAAAATTCAGCTCGATCGGACCACGGACGATGCGGGATCGGAGCTTTGATCAAACCTTGGCAGAATGTGAAAAACTGCGTTTTTCCTTCTCCACTTCCACAAAACGTGTGCTTTGTTTTAAAAAAAACCCTACACAGACGTCTACCTTATACTTATAGAGTTTTCCTAAACCCTAGGTTCATTTAAGTCCAACTCACAATCCTAACCGGCCCATCCAATTAACGTAGAAACCTACGACGGCTATAATATAAAACCCTAATTTATACTGTAATTAAAACCCTAGATAGATGTATTTACCTAATTACCCTATTCACCATTAAATACTTAACAAATAATCTAATTGAACAAAATAATAATTAGTAAACCCAATTAAACCAAATATGACATACATAAAATAAGACACACATAGAATAATTAAACCAATTACACTTAAACCATTAATGCCAATTAAATAATTAAAACACTTACAAGTAATTCCAATCAAATAACTAAACCAATTACACTTAAACCATTAATGCCAATTAAATAATTAAAATACTAACAAGTAATTCAAATCAAATAACTAAAAATAAATATCATTTAAATAAATTAAATCACCACAAAAGAAAACAATTAAGCACCTAATAAAAAAAAATAATGACACATAATCAAATAAAATGCACTTAAAAAATAAATTAAATACCATTAAATATCAGGAATATCCTTTTTAAAATTAGGGGTATTACATGTACCCTGGTAGGTCTAGGTACTCATGCCCACTATATGTGCGTTTTGCATGTTGCCTACTATTCAGGTTGAGACAACCCTATAGTCTAGTGAGGTTCCTTTAGTGTGTATATATATATATACGGACTACTAGTTACTGTTGGATTGACTAGGATGTATACGTGTATCGGATCTCTGCTTGGACTGTAGTAGAGTAGAACTTGTTTGTGGGCCTGACCCACCATTATTTTTCAGGTGTTCGTCAGGAGTAGAGGTTATTCGTGCTGAGCGGGGATCAGTCTACTTCATTCTTTCGATGCTACATAGGAGTTCCTTTATGATTCAGTTTTCTGATTTAGACAGTTATTGCTGTTATTTGTTTAGTTTAGATTTTCTAGGGGTCCACACAGTATGGATTCCCGAGTTGTATTTTGGAGGATCAGTTGTATAAGAAGAGTTTATTAATTAATGAAACTATATTATGAGGTTTATTATTAAATTATCATTTTAGTTTCTTGTCAGCATTTTATTTATTCTTCTTTATTCTTTTGTACTCCGTGTTCGTTTATTATCAATTTGTTTTGATATCCTCGGGTATTCAGGCATAGGCCTGGCCAACCCGCATTCGAAAATCTGGGGGTATCACATACATCGTGTCTGGGTTTGAGCCGACTTGTAGTTGGTTTAAAATTTAATTTAGGGTTTCAAATGAAGCCTATAAATACATAGTATTCGTCTACCAAGGGTTTTGTTAACCCTATTCATGTAACAGAGAGAAAACACAGTGAGCAACAGAGAAAGAATTGGAGAGAAATAGATAGTGAACCTTGAAAGGTTTATAGAGAGGTTCAATGAGGAAGGGGTGGAGTGCTTCTGGGTTGAACCAAGAGCACCGGAGGTGTTTAATGGCCGCCTAGGACTTTGACGAAAACTCAGAAACGGAGGTTTAAGATTTCTGGACTGAAATCTAATGCAAGTCTTTGTTCTATTATTTCCCTTTAATCTGTGTTCTGTGCATGCCTAGCTAGACTCGAGGGGTTTAACTAATGATAAAACGAAGTAATCATACATGCTTAACGGACTAAAACTGAGAGTTTTATGGTTATATATACTTGTGCGTAATTTCATTATTTTCTTAGATCTTTATGTATGATTTGTGGTTTAACTTGAATCTTTGCCTACTAAAACACTTAAAATAATTTAGTATGGATGTATGGGACTTAGGTTGAAGCTTAGGGGCCTTAACAATGAAGTTGTAAGGTTACAGAGGCTGAACGGACGAAGAAGAAGACCTCAGCACTAACTGAGGCGCCTAAGTTCGCAACTGAGGCGCCTAAGTTGGCAATTCAGCCCTCTAAGTTAGCAACTAAGGCTGCTAAGTTGTAACTTAGCTTGCTCAGTTGGGATTTTTGGTTTTAAACGCCCAGTTTGGGTTTTGTGCACTGTTTGGACTACACAGAGTGTTAGCACTTCGTTTAATTGTCTTATATGATGTATATTATTGTTTTAGACCTGTAAGAATATAGGTAAACAATGATTCATAAATGGATTAAGGTATGGACAGTGTACAGTTAGGGGAAGATCCTACATGTTGAACTTTGAATGTTAAACAACTTACACTTTGGAACTTGGAGGATTGTTTAAATGTGATTTAATTTTAATTAATCATATTTGGATAGGATTGTAAGTAACATGGATTACTTGAACTTAACCATGCTTGTGTTGGATCAAATTAATATTCACTTTGTTATTCAACTGCATCAGTGTATGGATATTTTAGAGGATGTGAACGCTTATACTTGTTTTAACTGTATACATTATTGGAATTGGATTTTAGGCTCTTTAATGACTGCCTAATATTGTTGGATATGTGTTAATTTATATTGATGCATGTTATGAAGGATGGTTGTTGGATATATATAGTGTCGTTTTATTAACTATGCTATCTGGAGGATTGTATGCACCGGTATGGGACGGTGGCATACTAGGGACGGATTAGTTAAAAATACTAAGTCCTACCTATTTGGAAATAAGTTGGATTAACAATAAAAGTTAAGTCCTACTTACGTATGTGTATATGCACCGGTATGGGACGATGGCATATTAGGGACGGCTTAGTTCAAAACACCAAGACCTACCTATTCTAGGGACGGATTAGTTCAAACACTAAGTCCAACCTAATCTGGATTGAGGTATGGATTAACCATAAAGGTTAAGTCCATCTTATACTTATGTCATATCAATTGAGAATTGAATGACCTACTATGGTTTCAGGATGGATTTGTTATACATATATCAGACCACTACACAGATGGATGGTATTTTGTATTAGGAGGAGTACGGACTTTATATATATATTATATGGTGCCGTGGTATGAGCTTGAGTCTCATGACCATGGTTAGGGCGCGTATATTGCCTAGGATGGATAACTGGACATAGGTGTTGTTCCCTGGTAGGTCTAGGTACTCATGCCCACTTTAGGGTGCGTATTTGCATGTTACCTTCTATTCAGGCTGAGACAGACCTACTGGACTAACGAAAGTCCTATAGTGTGTACTATATATATATATGGACTATTCTAGCTATTGTTGAGTCTTCCTAGGATGTATCCGCGTATCGGATTACTGTTGGATTGTAGTAGATCAGGACTTGCGTGTGGGTCTGGCCCACTCCTTTATTTTTCAGGTGTTCGTTAGTTCCAGGATTAGAGCTTGGACGTGCAGAGCAGATACAGATATTCATTCCTCCGACTACGTAGGACTACTCTATATGTTTAGCTTTAGTTTTTATTTCAGTTGTTTCAGTTTCAGTTTGGGCATTTATTAGGGGTCCACTGGATGGATTCCCGAGTTGTATGAATTGGAGGTTTTGGGAAGTTTGGTTTTAATGATTAATGATTGAGGATTTTATTATTTAGTATTCATTCAGCATTATTATTTATTTCTTTAATTCATGATTTTGTATTCCGTGTTCGTTTTATCATATTAATTGTTCGATATCCCTTGGGTTTGGGCCTGGGCCTGATCAACCCGTGTCTCGGATCCGAGAGGTATCACACTCACCCCGAACTCGTAACTGGTAATAACCAGATCTCAAATCAATCTTGGAAAAGCAAATAGCTCCCCTTAACTGATCAAATAAATCATCAATCCGAGGTAAAGGATATTTGTTCTTGATAGTTGCATGATTCAATTTTCGGTAATCGATACACAACCTCATAGAACCATTATTTTTCTTTGCAAACAACACTGGCGCGCCCCATGGTGAAACACTAGGCCGAATAAAACCCTTCAGCCTCAAATCATCCAACTGCTTCTTTAATTCCTCCAGCTCTGCTGGTGCCATACAATACGGAACCATAGAAATTGGTGCAGTACCAAGCATCAAGTTAATCACAAACTCAACCTCTCTTTTAGAAGGTAAATCCGGTAAGTCATCCGGAAACACATCCAAGAACTCACAAACAACTGACGGATAAACTGTCTCCACATCACCATCTTCTTCAGCTAAAATGCTAGCTAAGAAGAAATCACAACGGTCCCGACCACGAACACCATAACAAGCTGAAACTAAGGAATCACCCCGATCTCCCACAAACACAAAACAATCTCCCTCCGGCGTACATACTGAAACTCTACCACTGAAGCAATCAATGGTGGCATGGAATAATGATAACCAATCCATCCCAAGAATGACGTCAAACCCTGTCATCTTAAGAAGGATAAGATCAAAAACCAGAGTCCGCCCAGCAATCACAATGGCACAATCCCGCACCATTATACTCACAACCAATAAACCACTGACTAGCGTATCAACACGCAACACTCGGTCCAAAAAGCCAACCTCCAATCCCGATGCAAGTGCAAATGCGCATGAAATGAATGAATGAGATGTACCAGAATCAAACAAAATGCGAGCCCAAGATCTAAAGACTGGAAACATACCCCTCACTACTGACGGTCCCGAGGATGACTCAGGAAGTGCATACACTCGGCCCTGGGATACCTGAGCCTGTGAACCTCCAGCCTGAACCCCGGACTGCTGACCAATCCCAGTAGAAGTACCCCTCCCAGCTGGTCTAAATCCCTGTGAAGATACAGCTGGTTAAGGTGGTCTAAACCCAGACTGTACTGCAGCAGACTGAGATGGTCTCTGTTGTGTACTACAACCACTACCAGAACCTCTGCCTGAGCCACCAGTCCTCCTCGGACAGTCTCTAACCTTGTGGCCCTGCTGCCCACATCCAAAGCAAGCTCCCATAGAAAAAGACTGTGGACAATCAAACACATAATGACCAGGCTGTTGACATCCGAAACATATGACCTCACTCCTACCTGCCCTTGATGGTACGGAAGTAGAAGGAGTAAGTCAGCCTAACTACTGTCCTCCAGACCTAGATGAACTCCCTTTCTACCTCTTGCTAGACTGACCCTCAGCCCCTGAACCACTGGCTCGTCTTTGTTTCCACTGCTCCAGAGTCTGATTTTTATCATTCAGCTCAGCTTCAACAATCAATGCCCTTTCTACAGCCTCAGTATAAGTCTGTAGGCACTGTTCTGCCACAAAAGTCCTAATTTGATGATGGAGTCCCTCTACAAACTTATGGACTTTATCTGATTCCTTACTTACAATCTCTGAAGCAAAACGAGAAAGAGAAGTGAATTTATTCTCGTAGTCTGTCACTGTCATAGAATTGTTCTGAAACAGAGAGATAAACTCCTTGTGCAGCTCCCATCTTTTAGTCGCAGGAAAGAACTTATTGTAAAATAAATCTTTGTAAGCATCCCACGACAATGTCTTCACGTCCATTTTGTTAGGCACTGACTTCCACCACAATTTGGTATCCCTAGTAAAGTTGTAGGTAGCCAACAGAATCTTCACAGAATCATTTTCAACCAAAGCATCAATATGTTTTTCCACCTGGTCAAACCAATCATCTGCCAACAACGGATCAGTCCCATCCTCAAACAATACAGGCATAAGTCTGACAAATGTGGAGATGAGTTTGAGACGTCTTTTTGTCTCACATTCCCCTACAGACATCACTGGCGGTGGCAAACCTCCTCATCCCATAGGGTGAGATGCAGAACTCTCCCCAGACCGTCCAACTGCAGGCCCAATCTCTTGGCCTCTCGGTGCCCTATCCTTCTTACGAGGTGACATACTACAATGAAATGCAAGTCAATAACAATGTCCCTATCCACAGTCCCAAACTGACTCATATGAATAAAAGCCATTAATCACATAGCATGCTTTGTCGTAATCAAATAAACAAATAATCACATATTCATATAAGTATACTTACACGACAAATACCAGATAAACATGTAAGCACATAAGACGATGCAAACCCCTACACACACAGCTGTAGATAGACCTCTACCCCTCGTCCCTAGGTTATAGGAACCGTACTCTGATACCATAATTGTCACGCCCCTAGACCGTAGTACGGATTGTGAACACAACACACAATACAATCACAGGCTCAAAATAAATAAATAAATAAATAAAAACAAACAAACAAACAAACAAACATATCCCTGTAACATGTCTCAACCACACATCCACCTAACTATTTCCCTTTACAAAAATAAGACTGAAAATTAATAGATAAGATGCACATATTATCATCAATTCTCAATGAAAGCTAATTAACTATATTATCATCATATAAAATCATCTCTAAAAGATCAATTACGAATTTACATCAATTTTGAGTAAAACAGTTGCATGTAATTCAGCCTAACAGTTTCAGCAGCACAGAATTTCAGTTTTGTTTGCATGCACTTTTCAACTCAAAAATTGAAAGAGATTAACTCACTAAAGGCAAAGGAATTGAGGGGTAGACAATCCTACCTCCAAAAGAAGCTTGAACCTTGCTAAACAATAATTTAAAGCAACTCCAAGAAGGAAGCAAAGCCACAAATTTGTAAAAAGTGAAGAACACCTTTTTGTTTTGACACACAACAAAACCCTCTCCTTTAACACCACTTTTGACAACCCAGAATTTGTAAAATGTGCACAACTCTTATGCCATGAGGAAGCTCTCTCCCTTAGGAACCTTTTTCATTCACAAAGCTAACCAAAACTCACAACACAAGGCCTTCAAAATGACAAGTAAAGAAGTAGCCTATGGTGAAGGAATACAAAGGACGAAAATTCTGCAGATTGTTTTATGTTGTAGAAAATATGTTAATCACAAAACAAGAGTCACCATATACACACACAATATGCAGCCATGTGTACCCCCATGTGTCAAGCTCGCAATTAATCAAATGCATGACCAAGCAAAATGACCAAAAAGTCCTTCCATTATTTCTAAATGCTAATTATGCCATTTCCATAATAAAAGTCTACTTTACCCTTTATAAAATAATCAATTACCAAAAATGCCATTTGTAAAATAAAAAGTCTATAATGCCCTTTATGAAATACTAATTGACAAATATGCTATTTGCATAATAAAGTCTATAATATTTCTTAACAAATAATGACACTTAATGAAATTAACACACATTTGCAAAATAATTATAATTCTGACAAGAAAAAAAAAAAATGTATGTATGTCAAAATGACCAGAAAAATGATAAAAATGCAAGTGCTCACAGTCAGGCCCACAAACAAGTTCTAATCTATTACATCCCAAATAGAGACCCGATACATGTACACATCCTAATTAATTCAACAAATGACTAAATAGTCCATATATAGATATATACACACTAAAGGAATCTCACTAGACTATAGAGTTGTCTCAACCTGAATAGTAGGCAATATGCAAAACGCACATATAGTGGGCATGAATACCTAAACCTACCAGGGTACACAACTACACTATATCTAACTACACATCACTGGCAATATACGCACCCTAACCACTGATTCTAAGACTCAAGTTCACATCATGGCGTATAATTATATATGTAAAATCCGTCATATCCTACCATCAAAATAAACTATCCAATTTTTATTTTAATAATATGTCATCCAACTATTCCGTATGATTAAGTAGGACTTAACATTATGGTTAATCCGTTCCCTTATTAAAAATAGGTAGGATTTAACTCTTAAGTTAATCCGTCCTTAATATGCCCCCATCCCATATTGGTGCGTTAATCCATATCATAACCAAATAAAAGTTTGCAATCCAAGTATAATGTAATTAATATTTACATCTAATAATCCAAATAAACATGATATAAATCATATACACATCCTTTGCATTTACTTGAACAAAAATATCAATTCTAAGTATCATCCATTTAATTTACCTCATAAGAAAATTAACATGCTTCACATTTAATTGTAATCCTCCACAATTTGATTAAATTTATTTAAATCCAAATAATTAATTTAAATAATTTAATCCAACCCTATTTAATTAATTTAACCTTTTTAACTTAAATTCCATACTTAGTATGGGTACTTTTAATCATGCAACCCTATTATTAAGGAATTTATTTAAATTAATTAAATATTCAATACAAATCCTCAATCCAAAAATAACAATAATTAATTTAATATTCAATTTAATATTCCAACCTTAAACAGATTAACATTAAAATATTTAATGCATTACTAATTTTGTATATACCAAACTCATTCCTAACCACCTAACCAAGAAATGAAATTTCCATTTAAAATTAACATACTGGTGCATTATTTAAAAAAACGTAATTTCAGCTAGAAAGCAAACGGATGCATCATTATTAAAGCCTTTGACTTTTTATTCCCTCCTAGTTTGGCGTGCCTAGTTTACGTAGAAAACTAATTCTATTGTTGTAACAAACTAATTCATTTTTTAAGCCACTATTTGTTTGTTTGTTTTTGGGTCTTCCTCATTCGGCGTGTACATTTATGAAGCAAAACAAATCACAACCTCATATAAGATATATAACAAACTGACTCATGTAAAAGCATGCTTAAAAATAATAATAATAATAAATATACAAGCCACCAAACAAACACATTAAAATTCAATTTATCAAAATATGAAAATTCATCACAAATCCATTATTAAAACACTTGAACTTTAATTTCCAAATTAATTCATGTAATTAGATCATATTAATTTATTTAAAGAACCTATAATTAATCTAGTATGCATAGGGTATGAATTAAAGGAGAAGAAAAGAATTAAAACTTGCTTTTAGGGATTTGATAAAAAAAACTCTAACCTCCTTCTTCCTCTTTCTCTTCCTTCCTCTTCCTTCTTTATCTTTCTAAAATATATTTCGTGATTTAATTTCTAACCCCTTTTACAACCCTATAGTTATATATTTATAGGCAAATAAAATAACCCTAATCCTTTTCCCAATTTAAGTCAAACTAATAAAAAAAATAAAATCAAATTTAAATGCGAAAAAGGTAACTAAAATATATGTTACATATAATCTATGTGTAATCCTTTTTATATATAATATATAACTATACTTCAAATTATTACTAAAGGACTTTCCTTATATATATATATATATATATATATATATATATATATAAACAACTATCCATGGGTAATTATCCGTACCCATTAAACCTCTTATCCAAGTACTTCATGTGACCCAATTAGTTGGTCCAATACTACTATCTATATTCAATTCCTTAAAAAAATTAAATTTTAAAATTTTAAAAAATTAAAATAAGAGAAAAATAAAATAATTAAATTCCTCTACAGACCATCACATACAATTTAATTTAAACAAATAATTTAATTAACACATAAACAATCAAATCAATTAAACAAATAAACAATTAGCCAATAAATCAATTAACAATAAATCAGATAAATATAAAATGTAATTAAAACAATTAAAATAATACCAAGACTATCTTTTTTAAATTAGGGGTATTACAGAAACCTACACTAAATATAAAACTAGTCGGCCACCATATGATTTCATAAAAGAATATAAAACCCTAAACTATATACTATATTAAATTCATTTTTAAGCTAAGTCCACCTAAGCATAAATGTAAAAAACAAATAAATCAAATAATCAATTAAATAAAATAATTAACCAATTAATTCAATTAAATAAACAATTAAACAATTAATTCAAACAAATAAACAATTAATTCAAATAAATAAAAATAATTAAACAATTCAGTAAATAAAAAAAAATGCAATAAAACAATTAATTAAATACCGAGACTATCCTTTTAAAAGTAGGGGTATTACAGTTAGCCTGTATCTGACCCTGTCCTGCCTGTGGTTCCCCATCTTGCTGTCTCTGAACAGGTGCCCCATTCCTATGAGCATCTGAGCCACCCTTGTGCTTCTTCCAAGACTACTGTCCCTGAAATTTGCCCTTGTTATTGTGTAGGTGTCCATTGCCATTCCCTTTCTCAGATGACTGATTAGCAAAGTCTTTGTCACCCCGCTTCTCACCCCTAACTGTCTGAAATTCACAGTCAACTGATACTACTGTAAAGCGGCGTCTACCACTTGAGCATAAGTAGTATAGGCTGGATTACGTGTAATAACTCGCTTAATAGACCACATCAGTCTCTTAACAAAACTATTACATTTCTTCTCCTTTGTATTCACCTCTTCTGGAGCAAAAAGAGATAGGTGCGTGAACTACTGCTTATACTCTGCCACTGTCATGTTCCCCTAATCTATATTAAGGAACTCTGTCTTCATAGCTGTTTTGACTGCATATGGAAAGTACTTCTCATTGAAGCGAGCACTGAACTAATCATAAGTCAATGAAGTCCTCTCCTTTGCAGTGGTAACTGACTCCCACCACTGTAGTGCATCTCCAACCAGCTTGAAGGTAGCAAGCATCTGCTTCTGAACCTCCGTGCACTGAACCATTTGAAGATGTCGCTTTATATCCTTCTTCCACTGATGAGCTGCTTTCGTATCGGTAGAGCCTGTGAACTCCGGTGGGCTCCCCTTTGTGAAAGAACTCCTAACATTTTCCTAAGGATCAGTCTGAACCACCGGTGCTGGTATAGGTGCTTGTTGAACCTGTGGTTGATTCCGAAGTGCAGCTGTTATCCCTACTTCTATAGCCCGAGCAATGAGGTCATTGAGATGA